TGACTACTGTTTCCTGGTCCAAGCATAGGTTTACATGAGCACAATTAAGTGTTGTGGGATTCTCATTCTTCTCAAGGTTAGCCACAATTTGTTGTGATCCACACAGTCAAGTGCCTTTGTATAGTCAATGAAACACAAATAGACATTCCTCTCGTGCTCTCTCCTTTCAACCCAGATCCATCTAATATTGGCTACAATGTCCCTAATGCCATGGCCTCTTCTAAACCCAGAGTGCACATCTGGCAGTTCTCTGCTGATGTACTCTTCCAGCTGTCTCTGAATAATCTTCAGCAGGATCTTGCTTGCATGTGATATTTGTAATTTTGTTCATAATTTCCACGTTCTGTCGGGTCACCTTATTTTGTAATGAGAACAAATATAGCTCTCTTCCAGTCAGTTGGCCGGGTAGTTGTCCTCCAGATTTCTTGGCATAACCTGGTGAGCACGTCCAGAGCAGCATCTGTTTGCTGAAATATTCCCAGGGCTTTGTTTTTTGCCAATCTCTTCAGAGAAACTTGACCTTCCTCCTTCATCATCATAGGCTCCTGATCATATGCTGTTTCGTTAATTCTTCTGTGTCAGCCAATCCTTTCTGGTACAGTGCCTTGGTGTACTCTTTCCATCATCTTTTGATGCTTCCTGGGTCATTCACCTTTCTGCCTTCAGCATCCTTAAGTATTGCAACTTGAGGTTTAAATTTGTTCTTCAGTTCCTTCAGCTTAAGACATGTGGAGCAAGTTCGTCCCTCTTCAAGGGGAGACATCCCTGCAGAAAGACATCATGCTTGGAAAAGCAGAGGGTCAGAGGAAAAGGGGAAGCCCACCGAAAGAGGTACTGGCACTGGCCACAACAGTGGGCTCAGACATGGTGGTGACAGCGAGGACCAGAGGTGTTTCTCTTCACGGAATAAGAATAGCTGGAAGCCAGAATGAAACATACCTAACAGGAGTGTGTATTTCAACGTCAACAGTGTTTGAAGAAAGGGGTATCTAATTTCACCTTTGTAAAACCATGACATGCTATTTCATTTAATGTTTTTCATGTAGCCACGCTTCCAAATGCGGGGCAGCCATCCTGGGAAGCCTGTTTCAGGTGGGCCTGTGGGCAGCAGGTGGGGGCAGTCAAGTTGGGAGGCCTTGCCGGTCCCACAAGCCCCAGCAGTGATGCGAGAGGCGCTGTAAGCTTCGAGCACCGCACGGGGGCGCCGGCGAGACAGCACTGGTCCAGCTCCGCGGGGGGGGGGGGGGGGATGTGGGAATTGTATACTAATGAAGGACCAGGCAGCACATTCCGTTGCCTAGCAACCTGCAACTCTCCCAGGTTCTGTGGCACACAAACTGGCTGGTGGGTTTGCTGCAAGGATACCACATCCATCCAGTTCTTAGGGATCTGCATTCATCAGGCCAGCTGCTGCCTGACCCCAGCCATGTGCATTCACGTGGTCAGCCAGTTGGACTCGCGAGCCTTCCAGGAACCAACCAAACGTCACAGCTAAGGTTCATTCCTGTCTCTGCGGGTTCCTCTTCTCCAGGAGGCATGTTGAAACCAGGAGATGAGCCAGGGCCCTGCAGAGCATATCCAGGGACCCCACAGGGCTGCGGGGCACATGTCTCTTCACCTGGATCGGAAAGACCACCCCCTCTAGACTTCTGCTCAGGGTGGCCCCTGTGATGCAGCTCTCCCAGAAGACACGCAGGGGTGCTGCTCCCAGCCATCCACCTCAGCCATTCAAATGACAATCAGCCATGAAATACCCATGTGGTGAGCATGCTTCTCGGACAAAGATGCCCATAGAGGGGCCCTCCTCAGGGCAGGAAAGGGGATCAGTGGTCAGCCTTAATGAAACATCTAACAACCAGGGCCAGGGCAGACTGTCCACAAAGAGCTGGTCTTTGAGTGCCAGCCCTTGCGGCTCACTCCTCAGAAGCAGCTGAGGCCCAGGCAGGACACTAGCTCGGCCGTCAGCTAACCAGGCCAAGCATCGCAGCAGATTCTGTTTATGGTACCCTCTGACCACATGGGTAAATGCTTACCATAGAACAGCTAAGAAAGTCTGTTCTGCAGTTAGGCCACAGTGCGAAGGTCACTCAGGGCAACGATCCAGGGCCATCAGTCAAGGGGCCGTGGATGGGGAGTGCCATTTCCCACTTGTATTCATGTGGATGCACATTTAAACACAAAAAATTCTGCCCAGACACATTCCATCCACATTCTCTCCCACAGAGACAGAGATGGTCCAGTGGTAGACCTCTTGGTTCCACACTAGAGACCAGGGTTTGGTTCCCCTGCACAACCACACCATCTGTCAGAGGTGTTTACATTTTTATGACGCTGAGCCAGTTTCAGCAGACCATTCAGACTAAGACAGATGGGAAAAAAGCCTGAAAATCCTCATAATGGAGACGGCTCAGCAGTGTCAGGGAGTCCCCCCAGGTCAGAGGTTGACAGCGCAGGACTGGGCAGTGTAAGGGAGTCCCTGTGAGTGAGAGGGCAATGTCTTTCCCATGGGTCAGAGGTCAATGTCTCCCCCATGGGTCAGAGGTCGACGGCTCAGGACGGGGC